CAAAGCTGACATTGAATATGGTGCTGGAATAAATCCCAGCTGCTTCAGGAAGAAGATGTATTCAAGTGACAGCTCGAGTTCTGACACCTCTTCAGATGACTTGCAACACTGGGCTGATCTTTGTAGAGAAAAACTTTACTCTCGCACTCAGCTGTGAAAGGGCTTACAGCTGTAGTTGTGGGAAGAAACCTTGTCGTGGGGTTGTTGTGGTTTCTTTTCTTTTAAATTTTTTTTTTAGTTTCTTATATTTTTTTAATCTTTATTTGCAATTTCAGTTTTGTTTTCCCCACTATTTTAGTAGCTGGCATATACAGTACAAGCTTTTTTTTTTTTTTTTTCTCTTACAACTTTCACCTGTTTCACGTTGTAGAGCCTACACTAGATTGTGTTGTCAGATGAAGAATGGATGTGCATGTGCTTGTGTTTGTAGAATCACTGCTTTCAACATCTAAATTGCATACCATTTTAACCTTTTTAGCTGTAGCTAGATTTACCATCTTGACATCGTAGAAATCTGCAGTTACTTCTGCCATTCAGAGACTTTTGATTCTGGAAAAAAATATTCTCTAAAAACTAGGAGAAAAAAAAAAAAACACTGTAATCAATCAGTGCCTTTCTGAATGCAGGAGAGAATAGCATGAGCGACTTGCCCTATCTTCATTTAAAGAAAAATAAACAAAAAAAACAAGTTAGGAAAAACAAAAAAATAGATAATTGAAGTAGATGCAATGAAATTGTGCTTTAGAGACTTAAAGAATACTGTGTTTTCTATCCTATAATAATTTGCCCTCGCCAAGAGGATAATATTGTTTGATATTAATGCTAATGGCAATAGCCAAGGATTTAGTAAATAATGCATGTATCCCTGTTTGCAGTGTAATTTGTTCAGTTTTTGCCCATAATTAATTAAAATATTTTTTTTTTTTTTTAAACCAACAAATAAAATTAAAATCGAATTGTGCGTGTTGAGTTGACAAACATATTGGTGGCTTCAGACAATGTCCTTGTAAGTAAAGCGTGCACCTAGCCCAGATATGCTCTCAAACGTTAAGTAAAAGATGTTTTTTGTTTGTTTTTTGTTGGTCTCAATTATGTCTGCCCACAGAACCCACATGCTGAAAAGCAAGTTGTGCTAGAAAAACTTGGAAATTCTACTGCAGCCTGTAAATGCCACATACATTTTACTTAAAATCCTGTGGCCATTGCCATTGGCTCTTTCTTTAGTATTTGTTGCTATTATTTAGTCTAGTTAATTTTATGTTTTGTAAGAATGCTAGAGAGCAAGAATTTGTGTGGCAATAAGCAACTAATTTTAACATACATGTGTGGTTGTATATTGATTTATGTAAAAAAAAAAAAAATTTACAAATTCTGCACATTGTCAAACGTAACTGTGCATATCTCGAAAAAAAAAAATCTTTCTGTGCTTTTAACACTTAAGCAAATTATGCAAGCACACTAAGAGCAATATTTGAAAATAACCTACCAAAATCCAACACATGCTTATGACACCAGAGTTTGCAAAAAGTTGTGTATTGCTTTGGGACAAGAGCAATCCTAATATCAATAACACTGTAATAAATTCTGTTATATCAACAATTGATCCTGATCAGACATACACATTCATGGGCAGAATAGATAATAGAAATTTTGGGGGGAATTGTTCAATGCTTTATAATGTACTCTGAATTTAAATTCAGTAGTGGAATTTAACATGGTTTCAAAATGTCAGACTTTTATGGTTTAAAAGAATATGAAATACATGCTGGATATTTGTCATATGAATCTTTCTTTCCATTCTGACAATTTTGTAAATTCCATAGAATATATATTCAGATTAGATTTACAGATATTGCTAGTTTACCCCCTGTAACTTTCACTTGTTTAAGTGAACAGAGTTAACATATATTACACACACACACACAACGAACACTTATTTTTTTTTTATTTTTTTTTTTGAATTTTTGTTTTGACTTATTTCTGGAGCTTCCTTAAAAAGTTGTATGTAGAACCTGCACTGAAAATATTTCCTCACAGACAGAACGTTTTTTGTTTTTTTAATTAAAAACATTTTCATTGTTTCTTTGCAAAATGATTCTTATAACCTTTTAGGCTGATCTAATACATCCAACTCCTAAAGAAAATAGCAGTTTTTTTTTTTGTTTTTTTGTTTTTGCCTTTTTATGGATGTATTGAGGATTTGGATTTAAAAGAAAATACCCATCCTCATCATAGATATTATTGAACTGTCCTGCTTACACCCCACCATTTTGTTTTGTGACTTTATAAAGGCAGATATAAGCTGTATCAAGTTGGTTTGATAGACCCTTGGGTTAAATGTAAAAACTACCTTTCTATGATTTCACTCTGCGCTCATGTGGACCTTTAGTTCACACAGATGGCAGATTGCTTGAATTATGTCCTAGACCAGGGGTAGGCAACCTTTGGCACTCCAGACGTTGTGGACTACATCCCCCATAATGCTTTTACACCTATAATGCTGGCAAAGCATCATGGGAGATGTAGTCCAAAACATCTGGAGTGCCGAAGGTTGCCTATGCCTGTTCTAGACAATTAATCCTTATCTTGCCCTGCCATTGATAATGTAACCAAGTTATTTGCTTCAATTTCCAATATTGGTTGCATTCAGCATTTTTAATTTTTTTGTAAGTTTAAAACCTTTGTATCTTTTGGTACTCCATATCCCCAGTTCAAATCTTCTACCTTTACAAGGTATAGTTATTGAACTATAAATTTAACAACTTGGCTATTTTTTGTAAAAAGGCAGTAGGTCTGCATAGAGTTTTGTGAAGAAATATCAGCAATGTCTGGCCCTGCATATTCATCCGTGCTGCTCAGTCAGCTGATTTCTTTATTTTCTTTGAGAATTTTAAAAACACAAGCTTAAAATCTTTATATAAGTGAGTACAGAAGTCTTTAAAATCTACTTTATTCAAGCATCTTGCCTGGATCCTGATCAAATGTGTTTTTAATGAATGTTTGTGTGCGTTACTGGTTTGTTTGTTGGATCTCCCCCCTCCCCCCTTAAACATTTTAGTTTTTGTTCACATCATACCATACACAACATTGACATATTAAAGTAGCGGTGTAATCCATGAACACCTGCAGGTGGTGGCAGGAATAGTATGTCCTCTGCAATAATTTGTATTTATTTTTTTTAATATCAAAAACTCATTTAGTGTTTGGGGTTTTTTTGTTTTTTTTTCTAGTTAGGAACCAATTTTTCTTGACTCCTTTTTAAGGTTGGCAAAACGCTGAACGCACTGTGATATGAAGCGCATTGCAAATCCATCGCACTGAAACATAAAAACTGTTTTTCATTCCAGGTCTGAAATTTTGGGGGAGGGGTTGCTTTTTAGTTCTGTTAAGGTTATTTTCCCCATTTTAGTGGTTGTGTTCTGATTTAATGTACACTAGAGTAACTGAGTTTTGTTTTTATTGTGGAATTAACACCAAATAAAAGTGTAAATAAAAAAAAAAAAAAAACTTGTGTGGATTTTTATTACCAATTTTGAAATGTTAAGACCTCACTGGGTTCAGTGTCAAGACAGCCTTACAGGGGCTGAATTTTAGTCCACTAAAATCTTACATCTATTTTATTCATACATGCAATTACCATATCCTAGAATACCCTTTCTCCATAAGGACAGCCATTATAAATCCTTTTTTTTAGTACTACAGCCATTCAAACGCTGGTAGTCAGGAATCCTGATGTCACGTGAAAGCACTTGGCATATCAAAAGCATCTAAATAGGGTTCAGTTCAAATTGCACATTGATTTGGCATGCTGCGTCTGCCCAAAGAAAACAAACAAATTTAGTGTTGGGAACACAAAATTGCAGTACTTCTGGTCCCCCACCCCAGCAAGTAAAGGGTTAATCTCTTACCGCCGCTGATGTCAGCCAATATAGGGGGGGACAAAGTGCGTCCAGCAAGCATTAGGCCTTCCCCATAGGAAAGCTATTGGGTTTTAGAAGACTGATGTCGTTAGCAGCTGCAGGGCTAGAGGGACAGTGACACTGCACCCAGATCACTTCAATTAGATGAAGTGGTCATGGTGTCTATAGTGTCCCTCGAAAGATGGAAGCTGCACATAGCTAGGGTACCAAGAAATTCATTGAAATTGACTTTTCTTTTTAGCTTTATAACATGCACAAGATTACTAGAAGTAAGACCACTTACTTTGCCATTATCTTATGTTGATCAAATTTTGCAAACCAGCATCTGCAAGTAAACCGTACATTTAAGAAAGCGTTGAAGCATGTTGCAGCTGCAAATCTCTATTTTAGGATGAAGTAGAGAAACTCTTCAAATCGGCTATGCTTGTTAGCTTGGTTGTTTTAACCTAAACCTTGAATTCACTATAATTCACACTTGAGCGAATAACCATGAATATATAGATTTTTGCTAACAAGACACATTCTATTAACCAGGAAAATATTGGCAGATATTTGTCCGACTTGCATCAGGATCATGATGAAAGTCCACAAGAGGGACTGAAACATTGATCTTCTCTTAAATATTTCAATAAAAGTTAAGTTTTAAGGAAATCAGAGTGCAGCCAACTATTTCAATTGCCTGGATACTGGAGCCCTGGTGATGCAACAGTGTGTGTGTGTGTGTGTGTGTGTGTGTGTGTATATATATATATATATATATATATATATATATATATATATATTTATTATTGATACATTTCTTCTAATTCAAAATATTAATTATTTTAGGGTAATTAAATTATACAGTAAAGCATACTCACATACAGACACAGACAATCTTACTGATGCACACAAATAGGCTCATTAACAGACAATCTCAATGACACACACAGACAATGTTACTGGCACACAAATTTAGTACAGACAAACTCTGATACACACAAGCTTACTACAGACAAGCTCACTGGCGCACACACACACACACACACACACACACTACAGACAAGCTCATTGATGCGCACACACTTTCCCTACAGACAAGCCCATTGACACACACATGCTCCCTACAGAAGATCTCACTAACAAAGATTCACTACAGACAAGCTCACTGACACACATGCTCACTACAGACAAACTCGCTGACACACATTTGCACTACAGACAAGCTCACTCACTAGCAGGCACACACACAGGCTCCCTCACTAGCAGGTGCGCGCGCGCGCGCACACACACAGGCAGTCACTGACACCGAGGCAAACATCCACACATACTGAGGCAGACAGTCACACACACACACAGGCAGTCACACAGACACACTGACCTTCTTACCTCCTGCTTGGAGCTCCTGGAGGCTGGTTGTTGGGGAAGCAGGGACTCCTTCCTGCTTCCCATGCTACAGTTAGCCAGGCCCCCGCCGCACACTAAGCTCCGCCCCCGCAACATTTTTTTTTTTAATGATCCCAACCAGCCATGTGTGAGCTATGCCGGCCGCCTGGCTCCTACTGTCAGCCCAGCTCAAGGTGCCGCGGCCCACTGGGAAATTTCCCGGTATCCCGGTGGGCCAGTCCGGCCCTGATCACAGCACATACAGGTTTTTTTTTTTCTCTGATTATTATTCAGAGTTTACTGATACAACAGCATGTACAGTGTAACAAAGCCTGTAGCATACAAGTAAGCAGAGTGGTACCACAGTAGAGGCAGAAATGTGCATACATATACATTATTTTATTATTTATAAAGCGCCAACAAATTCCGTAGCGCTGTACATTGAATGGTATGATGATAAAGCAGTGTAGATAAGCAATGGTAAACAAATTATGATGTGCTTAAAACCTGTGGTATGATCTTGCATGTCAGCACTCATGAGGCATTATGTTGGAGGCCAGAGCCGATGTATATCCTAGGAACATAGCATGTCCATTAACCCCTTCAGGACCAAACTTCTGGAATAAAAGGGAATCATGACATGTCTCACACATCACGTGTCCTAAAGGGGTTAAGCAGTATATGCCGGGTCTTTGGGTCAGAGCCTGTACGCTTATAAACCTAAATTGGCAACCAAGCCTTACGTTTGCAAGGGTGAAATACATTATACAATAAAATACGAAAAAAAATGCGAACGCAGCATGGTGATATTGTGCCAGATTTTGTAGTGAGACTTTGCCACTTAGTATTTTTGTGGCATCGCCATTTTCAATGTGCTCATGTAAAGAAGGAAGTAACCAAGATATAACAGAATATACAATATTACAGCATGCATATATGGAGATAGCAGTGAGTCATAGAATAAGCAGAAACATATCAAAAAAATAAAAAATTTGTCCCAACAAAATAAGTAAAAAAAAAATTCAAAAAGTAAACCTGGTCTGGGTGGCACCAAAGTGTTGATCCCTATCTTGATTGATGAGTGTCATTGCTTATCAAAACTTAAGATGGACTTATACCATCCATGCTGAAAATATTTGAGCTTTTAGTAGCTTCAAAAGGTGTGTGCGTTTCTGGCATATCTACTAAATTTCTGCTTGTCAATTCATACTGCTCCATTATTTGTTTATGTTTCCTAAAGCTTGACACTGCTGTGTATATAGATATTTCTACCATCTATATGTATATTTATAAGGCTGCTAGCCTTATTACAGTGAGCGCCTTTAACTTTAAATTCTTTAAACTCGGATCATATATCTGAAAAGCTCGTAGAAAGCTAAATAAACAAAAAACATGTGTCCAAGGCCCAATTGTATTGTCACGAGCTTTAACCCTAACATGCAGAGTTTAGGATAGAAAGTAGAAATAGAAAAATAGACAAAAAAAGATAAACATATTACCAGGCCTTAGTGGCTTGACTTAATGTAAAAAAAAGAAAAGCGTAAAAAACGGGTAGCGGTAGCACATGTGCGACTCTAAAACACACAATGATTGTCTAATATGTAACTTGTTATATGATATCCTTTTGTGCACATGATGTACCTTGAGTTCTTTGCTTGCAAACCCTCAAAATTAAAGAATTAAAAATACAAAATAAAAAAAACAAGCCACGTTCAAGGTAATGGAGAGACAGAAAAAAAAATGAGAACTAGCCAAAGGGCAGTGAATACAAATACAGAACTTAACCCCTTAAGGACACATGACATGTGTGACATGTCATGATTCCCTTTTATTCCAGAAGTTTGGTCCTTAAGGGGTTAAAGGGACACTATAGTCACCTGAACAACTTCAGCTTAATGAGGTTGTTCAGGTCAGTGCTACAGCTCCCTGCAGCCTTTTTCTTGTAAGCACTGTATTTTCTGAGAAAATACAGTGTTTACATTGAAAGCTAGGAACACCTCTAGTTGCATTCAATCAGACGGCCACCAGAGGGACTTCCGAGTTCAGAAGCCCTAAAAAGGCTTCATTCACGTCTGACGTATTCACGCATGGGTGAATACTTCAGATGTGCTATCAGCACACAAAGCACTGTGAACTCACTTTGTGTGCTGAGGCAGTGAGCACTGCGTGGGAGTGGCTTGAGCTGACAGGTCTGACAGGCTTAAGACCGAAGAGGAGGAGGGGAGGATTCAAACTGTAAGTAAACTTATTTAGTGAGGATGGATGATGGGAGTGGATGGATTTGGGGATGGATATGGATATATTTAGAGAGATCTCTATATATAGTGTTTCTATGCGCAAACACAGTTTGGCTGAGAAGGGGGTCGGGTATAGAAAGCGAGCTGAGCTGTCAGTCAGACAGCTCAGCTCGCGAACGCACATTCCGCGCACATGCGCGGTAGAGGCGCTGAGTTCATTAACAGGGCGGCTCTATGAAGAACGCGACTGGTGCAGGGCGAAGCCGCGCATGCGCACCAGATCGCGATGACGCTTCTTTGAGAGAAGCGTCTGATTGAGCCCCGTAATTTCGTCATTTTGACGAAAAAGGGGGCACGGCACGGCTGGGAGCTCGGCGCTGGAACGGAGATAAGTTTTTATTATATAAAAGCCTTGAAAATTAGTTTTATTAAATGAAAGTTCATATAAAAGCAAGAAGGAAGGTTGGGGGACCTGTCTTTCTTGCTTTTATATGTAGACTATAGTGTCCCTTTAATAGGGAACACATGGGATGGAGGTTTGTGTGTCTTTGTATGTATGTCTGTGTGTATATGTGTATGTATGTCTGTCTGTATGTGTGTGTGTCTATTTGTGTGCCTGCATGTGTGGGGGGGAATGTTTGGGAGGGGGATGATAGACATATGGGGTGATGGCGGTGGGTAGACTTGTGGTGGGGGCCCCATGGCAATTTTAGCACTGGGTCCCCGTGGTTTCTAGTTACGCCTCTGGTAAGACCATTTACCATATTCCTATAATGGTTTTTGTAAATAAGTCATGGAGAAATGTGGTTGGGTTAGGGTAAGAATGTGTCGATTCAACTGCCCTGATATCGGCTGCTAGCAGCTCCAATGCTAGAACATACAGAAGCAGGGACAAAATGGGTCTGATACAAATCCTGCAAAAAGCTGAGCCTTATGGTCATCGTGAAGGGCATGTATAAGTGATAAAAAATTGGTCTGGGAATGC